ACCTTTACATAAAAAGTGGACCAAAAAGTGGACCTTTGAGCCTTGTGGGGGGTTCCTCCGAACCCCCCCTGGCTACGGGCATGTATCTTTTAATGCTTTAGTTATATATTCTGTACGCAATATACGCAATATACGCAATATTACCTGTAGGACAAACGTATTGTAAATGGACGGCAAATCAATTCAGGAGCCCTGCGATTTTGTATCATTTAATGTAAATAAACCAGTATATATATTTGTGACAACAATTTCCCTGGTACAATGACAATGAGCTAATCTGCTTCGAAATCACTATTAATTTTTTTCACCTTAATATCCCATTGATGGAATGTGCTATATAGACTCGTACAGTATATGGCAGATAATAAACTACTCCCTTTTGTCTCTTCTGACACCTTTTGGTTCGGTTTAACACGATAAAAACTTCTCTTCTTCTGAAGCATTTTTAATCCTGAGAAAAGCGACCAAGTACGCCACAGACTCCCACCGACCACACACTCCCTCGTTCAGTCACGTGACCTGGGTGACCCTTGACACCTAGGTCACGTGACCACTCTTATGAGCTGATAAAAGATGGGGGATGCCAGCTGAAAGTTTCTCAGATTGAACATTCGTCGTGCGTACTAGTTTAACTCCATTTAAAAAAATTTAGAGGTTTGTCATGGGCTTGTTCGAAGGATCCTGGGAACGAGACGCGGAAGCGTTGCCTTTGACCTAGCATCTCGTGTGAACCTCGTAGCTAGTAGCTACTCGTGATTAAAATACGCACCGTGTCCCGTTTATTGTGGGTCAGTCTTGTGGCATTGTTGGCCGCTGTGGGTTTGGTGTCTACTCTAACTACGATGACTTCGATCCAGGTAAAATTCAACACACTATAGAGTCGTCTACTGTATAACGTTATATAAAGTCTTGCTACACAATCCTACCGCCCCCTGTATTGAATCAGATGCGTGTTGGTAGTCACATAACGTGAATACGTCCATGGAAATGTGGGTGATTTTGAAATCGATAAAGGAACACTAGGACTAGTTCTGAACGACCTGCCACACGTCTATAAGCGTACCCGTGTATGTAAGGTTTGAAAGAAAAGTCCTTTTTCTTTCTTCCTGCTTTACCTGTTTATGTTATAGAAGCAGGGTCACGTGCTTCAAATCAGGGATCATCATACCCTCGCCTGTTTGTAAATTCAGAACAGTGGTTAATGACCTGTGACAGGGTACGGTTTTAGTCAATGTAAGATTTGGTGTAGGATTCCAAAATGTGTCTTAGTTTTTTATGTCCAATTTTCTGTCATATATAGGACAGAATTTTATGTCCTTAATTTTGCAACAATTACCTTATATTATAAACCCAATAAAACTAACGCGGGATCGCACAAAGTTTAAACGGATGCGGCGTCAACGTCAGACCAAGGACGCCGTCAGTGGTTGGAGGAGGAGCGCCCTCTGGCGTCCTGAAGGTGAAGGACTGCAGCAGGGTCGAGAAGAACAGGAACAGTTCCATCCTGGCCAGCTGCTCCCCGAGACACACACGTCTGCCTGGAAATGAAGAATGCCAAGTTGTGAGAGCAGCCATAATCGAATAGAAACTAGAGAAGTAACATTTGCAATGCAAATGCATAATGTTTACCTTCGGACATGGTCTGCCCTGTTAATTCTTACACAAACACATTCACATACATGTACTACTAGTATATGGTAAAAGGAGTAGAGCAGACCATGAAATTGCAACATTATGTAACCCAACACCAGTCACCATGGTGACAGACGTCAACAAATCATGTCATTGGCCAGGTCAGAGGTTAGTGTTTGGAACAGAAGAGGAGGAAGAAACTGATCGAGTGAAAACAATATGTTTTCCTTCGGTAAAGCAATAATTACTGCGGTTCTATAAGAATCATCTCTCGAAGCCTTACCTCCTGAAAACGGCATGAAGGACTCAGGCTTGTTGACGACGTTTCCTTCCGCGTCCAGAAACCTTCCGGGGTCAAACCGGTCCGGATCAGGCCAGTAGGCGGGGTCCATGTGGAGGGAGTACAGGTTCAGCAGTACCTGGATCAAACAAAATAGAAAATACGTCGATACACATTGTATACACACAATCTGCGAACACAACGTGTTTAGTAATATTTAAACTGACAAGAACCGACACACTGTGACGTACATTGCAGTTGACTTTCTGTCGTGTGGTCTCCTCTTTTATGAAAGGGGCATGTTTGTAACCTCACTTTTGCAAGGAGTCCTTTTTCAGTCTTCTTTTCTTTGTTTATGTTTTATATAATAAGTAACGTCGAAAAGTTACAAAGAAAAGGAAAATAGTCAAGAAGTCTCTTGTCTCTTCTGTCTAGTTTTCCTTCTTTTTTTTATTTTCTTATACCCCAATTAAAAATGGGAATCCGTAGCCTTTTTAAGGGTAGCAATACCTGCGTTCCCTTAGGGATATCGTATTCTCGCACTTTGACCATCTCTGATGTGGCGTGGGGAACCGCCAGAGGGCCGACGGACCGGATCCTCATGACCTCCAGCAGACAGGCGTTCACGTAGGGCAGCTGGGAACGGTGGGACAGGGTGGGCAGACCCTCACCAACAACGGCATCAAGCTCCTGCTGCACCTGTTAAGGGGGCACACCCCAGTTTATTTGGGGCCTCTATTCGAAGCTGCACACCCTCAAATCTAGCGACCGTCTCTGGCGTGGAATAATTCGGAAGGAGAATAAATGTATATGGGACGAAAGGATATCTCTTCAGCTACAAGACAAGCTGAGTTTGGTTTCTTCAACCTTTTTAAATTTGGTAAAATCAACGGATAAAAACATTATTTTCACTCCAAAATTAATGCCCAAAATTGCGGATTTTCGCGTAGGATAATCCCACAAAAAAAAATTTTCCGGCAGAAATGACTGATGCTGGCAGAAAGATCCAAACCTTGACTATACCTGAGTAAATTATAAAGAAAATTCTAGTACTGTAATTTTCTAAACAGTCCACGGCGCGAGGGGTTGCAAATCCACACCTAGTACCTACGAAGCCGCAGAGCGAAAACTAGGTCAAACGGGCGGATTACACTTGGCGCGCAAGGATACCCGGAAGTAAGGTTCGGAGCCAAAAGAAATTTTCACCCCAAAATCACAATTTCTTACACTCTTCAGCCATGTTAATGTTTAATGATACTTCGTGGCAGTTTACGAGAAATGTCACCTCAAACTTGGACCCTCAAAACCCTTCCGTCACTTTTTTTACAACGGACTATCGCGGAGAAGAACTGGGGTGTGCACCGTTAAATATACATTGTATTGAAGTCACCCTTGAGCAAATACTGTTTGGCAACTAGTTAAGAATCAGAAAAGAAGGGAAACATGACCAGGCCTCGAAATTAACTTTTCTTCCTATTGTCTCAGCACTGTCCCAAAAATAAATTTCAATTACCCCGAACGAAGTGAGGATGAACTGTCCCAACCTGTTTATGGGAAGTATTGCGTGACTTCAACTTGAATGCAACTTTATTTTGCATATGTTCACTCCCAGGCGCACTATAATTGCAGAGTAGACAGGAATTTTTTTTGGGGGGGTGGGGGCTTATCCGGATCCAAAAGCCTGAACGTGTGTCTGATAAACAATAGAAGGGCTGACATTCTGATGTTGATTATTTTTCTATTGTCCCAAAAATGTCCCAAATTGTCATTTTAGTTGTCCAAGCCTAAATCTAAGTGACCATTAGACCACCTTTAATTTCGAGCCCTGACACTGTTTTTGCCAGCGTGTTAGATACAGGGTAACAATTACAATGCTGAGAAGTACGTATACCTTATTCTGGATGTCCGGGTTCAGAGTCATGTAGAGCAGACTCCAGCGTAGAGTGTTGGTAGTTGTCTCTATTCCCGCCAGGAAGAGGTCCAGAGCCATGTACACAACGATCTCCTCCGTCAGACCCTCCACCTTCTCCTGCTTCTCAACCTCCAGCAGGCAGAAGTCCAGGAAGTCTCGCGGGTTCTCGCGATGGCGAGACATCTTCTCTTTTATCACATTTTGAATCTTGGAGGCCTCTTGCAACACATTGATTCCGGCTCTATTCACTGTAAAATACCCAAGAGAATAGTTGCAAAAAACTGCAAAGCTTTTGTCGATGAAGGTTAGACATCCAGGTAATACGATACGCCAAAAAGCAGTTACTCAAGCAACTGGATATGATTTTAGAAACGGTCAGACGTTTCAGCTAGTACCCACTAGCTTTCAGTCACTGACGAAAGCTAGTGGATACTAGCACTTTCATAATACATTCAGAAACTTTCCTCATATCGATAGCTTATCAAACTGATCCCAATGTTCTACCCACCGATAGGAACAAAGCGTAGAAAGGGGAAAACGTTGATGATCTGTCCAGCTGTAACTTCAGCCGCCATCCTGACGACTGCCTCTGAAAGTTGCCGGAATGTCTCGTCCCTGTAGTCATACCGCTCCCCCATCATCATGGAACAAATGACGTTTGAAACCGCCACGGAGATGTCATGAGCGATGTCGGAGGGGTTTCCATTGTATTCTGCAATCTGATGAATAGTGATAAAACCCATATTACCATGAAAATATACGTGAACTTTATTGACACAACAAAAGTACAGCGACTTTCGTAAGGTCTAAGACTGCATGTAGATATACGGACAAATACATGGGTACAACGAAATTAACATACGTACAAAACAATAGACAAGTCAACTAATTCTACTTGTTCTAATATCTAAACATAACCCTCCTAGTTTGTATCAGTCTTCGGGAAGCAGCTAGAAAGAGTAGAAATTGACCAAATACATGTAGACATGGCTCTTATAAGCGGAAAACCCCCATGGCATGTTAGCTGTCTATTTGGTGTACAAGTACTAGTATCATTTTATCATCAAGTCACATCAAGTAACACCAGGTTTCAAGCATCAATTGCTGCTCTTTTACGTAGAGGCTGTGGTACGTAGAGGTTTTTAAAAAGCCTCCAATACTATAATACCACACAAATATTTGAGTGGAAAAGTCCGGATTTTCACAAGGTTCATTCTTTGTTTCATCTTACCCTGTTACGGAGAAAGCTCGCCTCTTCTCGGATTTTCTCCTCAATGCTGCCAGTTCCCACCTTCATGCCGAGGTTCTTCATGACGGCGGTGGCGAACCTCTTTCTCTGTCTGAACTCGGTTCCCCAGCGGGCATATGCTATGTCTGGAAAAACAAACTGGAGTTTCATGATGTCATACCTTCGCAAAGCATTTAATAAATATGTTTTTTTTTTCAATTACGCCTATATCTGCAGTCACTTCGTTTAAAAAGTGACTTAAACATGTAATTCCGTATCATACCTGTCATGCCTGTATCCAATGAGCATGCTTCACGTCATGACATGCACTAACACATCAGACTATTTGCACTTTTATCGTTTTTCTCAAGGGGACACTACTACACACAGAAACGACCGGACTGCTTTTTCTGCCCCCGAATCGGACTGGACTGCTTTTCCGCCGATCGGACTGGACTGCTTTTTTTAAACCCAACCCACCGGTGTACAACCGACCGACGACAACACGGCCGGTTTAACCGGTTTGACCGAATGGGGTCCAAATGGACATTCCTTTTTACAATCTTTCAGTGATCTTTGCACATATATTTGTTAAGCATAGTAAGAGGTATATTTTGGCATGATTTAGTGTTAAAAAATTCCAGCTCATTATCATAATTTATGCAAAAATAGGATGAGGCCTGCAGGCATGAACATGGGGTTTATTACCTCTGACCTCATATGATTGTCAAATTGTCAATCCGTTTGGACCCCAGACGGTCTTACATCAGACTTTCCGTTGTTATTTTTACAAATTTGTGCCGATTTCCAAAAAAAAAAATTAGGAGAACTTGTAGTAGAGGTTTATTGACAAAGTCACGGGAGGATTTTTTTCAGTTTTCGAATCAGAAAATTTCAAATAGCACATAAAACTAATATGCCTGGGATCCAAATGGACCCCGTTCGGTTAAGGATTCTGTCTCAAGCTGCATGGCAACTGATAAACTATCCACGACTGTCAACAGAAGTTGTCGTTATGTTTCCTGTTGTGAATTTATCGTACGACGTTGAAGAAAAAGGACAGAGTAATACAGGTTCACCTTTTCCAAAGCCAACCATCGATCGCATCAGCAAGGTAATTTGCGGCCTGGAGGCGAACAGCTCGGACCTGTCCACGAGCGCGTCCTTGACGGCAGCGTAGCCGTTCAGAACCACCACATTTTCCATCCCCATCCTGACGGTGAAGACGTCCCCGTACTGCCGCCTCCACGTCGTCAGCTTGAGGTGAGGCGCTCGGCCCAAGGCGAGGAGGTGCCCGAGAACAGGCACGCGTCCTGCCGGGTAGGGAGGCAGGTTTCTGCGGGGCTTCAAGAGGAAACACCCCAGGATAAAGGCCGTACAGAAGACAAGGAAAGACTGCAGAGTCAGCCCAGAGATCTGTAAAATCTCCCGGACGGACTCAGCTATCCAGCCAACTATCACGGCCATGTTTGTTCGCCTGACTTCCGGGTGGCAATGGGTCGGGGGTCAACGTACTTTACCCAATCGTCGTTCAACCACTACATGTTAGACCTAGGCGCTTTGTTTTCACCAAGAATTAACGTTATCTTCCCAACAATGGCTTCATAGAATAATGAAATTTGTGAAAGCATATAGTAGATATAATGTTATAATTGATAATATTTTATCGTTTCAATGGTGATATCAGCAACCGCGTCACTGAATGATGTATGATTGCGAACATTGTATGATACTTTACGGTACGTATACATAACGTAAAATCATTAATCTTCTTTTTTTTTGCATTTTTTCTGGAAAAAGCGAATGTTCCCAGGCCTAGGGAAGTTGACTGTGTCGTCCTGAAAAGAAGGAATCCTTGCCCTCTTAGGTCCCGACGACTACAACAGATGTTTTAAGTGAAGAATGCAGTTGACAAAATAGTTAAGGGAGGCGTGCATGACCTATGACATGCATTCTTTGACAAGGTGTAACCTAAGAAATGTCGGTGCCTTTGTATTCTGCAAGGTAACCTTACCTTAGACCTTATAGTATTAGTTTCGCAGCCTTGTCATTACGTACTTGTGACAAGTCTTGTTCAGAAGAGTCCAAAGTCAAATATTTGAAAGGTGCTGTAAATGTTGACCCCTCTCCTTTATGTTGAGGTAGGAAATAAGGTCTTATGCTGTGGTCACATTTCCATACCTGGGCCCGGCCGGGCAGTCTTATGGAACAAAAAGTACGGCAAAAAAAAAGGAAACACCGAAAAGTTTTCGATAATAATCATGGGCACTATTCCTGTATATTCTTGATATGAATTGTTAGTTTTTCGTTCATATCAACAGCCCCCCCCCCGGGCCCCAGTTTGGAAATGTGACCTAGGCATAAGGTAAGGTTACCTTGCAGAATTTCTTAGGTTACACCTTGTCAAAGAATGCATGTCATAGGTCATGCATGCCTCCCTTAACTATTTTGTCAACTGCATTCTTCACTTAAAATAGCTGCTGTAGTCGTCGGGACCCAAGAGGGCAAGGATTCCTTCTTTTCAAGACGGCACAGGTATGGGTCAGGGACAACATGGCAGTTGTGTCGCCGTACTAGAGCAGAACATGGGTCAGGGACAACATGACTAGATCAGGTGTTGCCTGCAGAGATTTGACAGCTCCTGCATGTAATTCCATCACAACTCTGGGCTGTAACAAACACACAAATTTGAATTTCCAAATTTTGAAAACCATAGACCTAAACAAAAGGCACAGGAGAGATAATCAGTGAGCTGGGTTGACCCGGTTGTGTTGGTGTAATCATACCTGTAGCCAGTCAATACCTCCTTGGGTCATGGCCACAGGTAAAAAGGCCACTGCGCACGCGCAATAATGTTATTTTTATTCTTGACAAACATGGCCGTGATAGTCGGCTGGATAGCTGAGTCCGTCCAGGAGATTTTACAGATCTCTGGGCTGACTCTGCAGTCTTTTCTCGTCTTCTGTACGGCCTTTATCGTGGCCTGTTTCCTCTTGAAGCCCCGCAGAAACCTGCCTCCCTACCCGGCAGGACGCGTGCCTGTTCTCGGGCACCTCCTCGCCTTGGGCCGAGCGCCACACCTCAAGCTGACGGCGTGGAGGCGGCAGTACGGGGACGTCTTCACCGTCAGGATGGGGATGGAAGACGTGGTGGTTCTGAACGGCTACGCTGCCGTCAAGGACGCGCTCGTGGACAGGTCCGAGCTGTTCGCCTCCAGGCCGCCAAATTACCTTGCTGATGCGATGGTTGGCTTTGGAAAAGGTAAGCCTGTATTCACTCTGTGCCTTTTCTTCCAAATCGTACAATAGATTTACAACAAAAATCAATTCTTAGTGACGGTCGTGGATAGTTTGTCAGTTGCCTTCAGGCAGAATCCTTGTCGTCGGTCTGTTCTACATACAACAGCCTCGCAAATTGCACGAAGTATGTGACCACATAGTGAGCTTTATTGCATCAACATGGTGTCCTGCATGACAGCATCATTTATTGAAATAGATACAAGATGTGACAGGTATGATGACGGGATTACATGTTAAAGACACACAATGTTATTTCATGGCAGAAAAACGATAAATATCCTGGATATGGAAATCTGTCTGACAATTAGAAAATCCAATCAAGTCATGAAACGTGATGAGGGGGGGGGGTATAAACTTAGTCATTTTTGGGATCACATTCTTATAACTGACATTGGTTTTCTTATTGTTTGTAACTATTATGATTCCTAACAATACATATGTAACAAGACTTTTAATAATTTCTATTTGGGACTGTGATAGCTCAGTATTGTCAGTTAACAAATCTTATATTATATATAGAAACACTTTACATTTGGAACCACAATGCCTAGTATGTATGTCACAATTACACTACGTTCCGGAATGTATTGTAAACAGAAAAAACTAGCTTAAGTGCACTATGAACTATATGTAACACCTTTAGTGCACTATGCACCAAGTATACGTAACATCTAGTGTCAGTGCACAGTAAACCAGTCAGAATTGTCCTGATGAAGATGACAGAAGGTCATCGAAACGTCGGCTTGAAAAATAAATGGTTGTGATAACTTTGCTATTAAGTCGTTTACCAACCTGATGAAATAATTTACGGATATATCAATTTATTTTATACCGTCACCAACGTAGAGGACAAATTCGGAACATGTACAATACTCATTTTCACTTGAGTTAAGTGAGGAAAGTCGTGTAAAGCGCCTTTTCCAAGGGCACAAGATCGGTGGCATGTCAGGACTCGAGTCGGGTTCCGAGTCGAGTACTTTGTCGCTACGCCACACGATCCACGTACTATATGTTTGATTCATCTGACTACATTGAAAGACTGACCAAAGACAGTTGTGCTGCCCTGAAATTGCATTGGAAATCATTGGATGCATTGATTGAAAGACAATTTATTACCTTCGCCAGGAAGTAATATGTTTTTAAAAAGGAGGAAATGTGGATAAAGGCGTCATTGAAAACAGTATGAATATCCTTTGCGAAGGTATGAGATCATGAATCTCTGGTCTGTTTCTGTAGACATAGCATTTGCTCGCTGGGGGACCGAGTTCAGACAGAGAAAGAGGTTTGCCACCGCCGTCCTGAAGAACCTCGGGATGAAGGGTGGAACTGGCAGCATTGAGGAGAAAATCCGAGAAGAGGCGAGCTGTCTCCGCAACAGGGTAAGATGAAACAAAGAATCGACCATTTAAAATTCCGGTCTTTTCCGCTCGGATATTTATGTGGTACTATAGTATTGGAGGTTTTCAACCTCTACCAGGCTTCGTGAAGCGGCTGAAAAGAGCAGCAATTGAGTCTTGAAACTTAGTGTTACTTGATGTGACTTGATGATAAAATGATACTTGTACCAAATAGACAGCTAACACGCCAGGGGAGTTTGTCCGCGTATTTTAAGAAGCTCTTGAAAGAGCCCTGTCTATTTGGTAAATTCCTGCTCTTTCCAGCCGCTTCCCGAAGCCTGATACAAACTAGGAGGGTTATATATTGTCATGGTAATGTGTCTATAGGCTTTAACACGGTTTATCAGATTGCAGAATACAATGGAAACCCATCTGACATCGCCCATGACATCAGAGTAGCGGCTGCAAACGTCATCTGTTCCATGGTGATGGGGAAGCGCTATGACTACAGGGACGAGACATTCAGGGAGTTGTCAGAGGCGGTTGAGATGGCCCAATTTGAATCTGGAGCTGGACAGATCATCAGTGTCTTCCCCTTTCTACGCTTTGTTCCTGTCGGTAGGTAGGATACTGGGATCACTGAGTTTGATACTACGTAGTTTATAGCACATGATATGAGGAAAGTTGCTGACGTATTTTTTCACTTTGCATTTCTGTGCAACTATTCTCCTGGGTAACATAAAGATTGAATTTTCTCTGCCAACACTACAATGAATTGTCAACCTTGTTCACTCGCGGAATGGACCCATGTACTCTTGGAACGTGACGTCAGAGACACGTGACCGTAGTAGCGGGTCATACGTGCCAGACAACTTGTGTCGCCCCCCGTCGTTCCAATAGTAGATGGGTTCATTCCGTGAACAATGTGTTGACGGAGTTAGCCGACAATTTGGGTTAAGTCCCAATATATTGTAGTGTTGGCAGAGAAAGTTCAGTCTTCATTTCATAACTTGTACCTCAGATGAAATTTGATGCTGTTCTCTTGGGTATTTTACAGTGAATAGAGCCGGCATCAACGCGTTGCAAGAGGCCTTCAAGATCCAAAATGTGCTAAAAGGGGAGATATCTCGTCATCGCGAGAACCTGGATCGCGAGAACCCGCGAGATTTCCTGGACTTCTGCCTGCTGGAGGTTGAGAAGCAGGAGAAGGTGGAGGGTCTGACAGAGGTGCACGTTGTGTACATGGCGGAGGACCTCTTCTTTGCGGGATTAAGCACAACCACCGACACACTACGCTGGAGTCTCCTCTACATGACTCTGAACCCCAACATCCAGAATAAGGTACGTACTTGTCAGCTAATCAATAATTATCTCCAAGCTGATCCTAGATTGGCAAAAAACAGTATCGAATTGTCCAGGCACTATCCATTGGCTAGAGAGGGTCCATTTCGTCACCCAAGGTGGGTGGGGGTAGCAACAAAACAACAACAACAACAACAAAAACAACAGGCCATATAGAAAAAGGTAACGATCTTTCCCCATCGACCTCTGCTTGGAGAGAAATTGTCAGCATCATACATGTATGTCACCCTGTTAGCCTGGGTACCATCCGGATTTTCGCTACGCAACGCTTGAAAAAATTTTTTCGAGCGTTGCGTAGCGAAAATCCGGATGGTACCCAGGCTATCACCCTGTGCCTAGACTCATTAGACACTGGCAAAGGTCACTTGGTTACCGAAGGAAAACATACTGTTTTTGCTCATTTTCCTCTTCTTCTTCTCTAATCCAATAAGGTCAATGACCTGAACCAGACGTCTGTCACCTCTTAATAGTTACTTCAATACAATGCATATGTACCAGGTGCAGCAGGAGCTTGATGCCGTTGTTGGTGAGAGTCTGCCCACCCTGTCCCACCGTTCCCAGCTGCCCTACGTGAACGCCTGTCTGCTGGAGGTCATGAGGATCCGGCCCGTCGTACCTCTCACGATCCAACACGCCCCTACAGAGACGCTCAAAGTGCGAGAATACGACATCCCAAAGGGAACACAGGTATTGCTACCCTTCAGAAGGCTACGGATTCCCGTTTTTAGTTAGGGTATGACAAAATCAAAAAAGAAGAGGGAAAACTAGACAGGGGAGACAAGAGTTTTCTTAACTATTTTCTTTTTCCGATGTTGCTAAGACAAATGAAAGAAGACAGAAAATGATTCCTTGCAAATGTAAGGTTACAACAATGGCCCTTTTATTAAAAAAGGGGAACCACACGTGTTGAGAGTCAACTACAATGTACGTCAACCGGTGGTGGTCCTTTTCAGACGAGCTGCAATATTATCAACACGTAAGTACGAGCGTATGTTCGCAGTTTGTTAGTTGTTGTTTTTTTTCTTGGGGAGTTAGCATGGTGGCCCCGGCATACAAGTAGTATGGTACTCAGGATATGTATCAATGCGTATCGACATACTTTTAAATTTGTCTTGTCCTGGTGCAGGTACTGCCGAACCTGTACTCCCTCCACATGGACCCCGCCTACTGGCCTGATCCGGACCGGTTTGACCCCGGAAGGTTTCTGGATGCGGAAGGAAACGTCGTCAACAACCCTGATTCCTTCATGCCGTTTTCAGGAGGTAAGGCTTCAAGATATCATATTAGAACAGCATTAATGATAGTTCCATTCGACGGTGGCTGGTCTCACAACTGGCCTTCTTTTTTCCCAGGTCGACGCGTGTGTCTCGGGGAGCAGCTGGCCAGGATGGAGCTGTTCCTGTTCTTCTCGACCCTGCTGCAGTCCTTTACATTCAGGACGCCAGAGGACGCTCCTCGTCCAACCACTGATGGTGTATTTGGTATAACGTTGCCGCCGCATCCGTTTAAACTCTGTGCGATCCCGCGTTAGTTTCTTTTTATGGTGTAAGGAAATTTGTACTCCTTGAAGGAGGTATCGCTCCTGTAGGAGTATTGTGGTCAATTGGTTTTTGCGTTCGCAGCTAAAACACACAGTTCTCTTTGTTTAATCGGCATGTAATTCTATATGTCGTCTCCAGGCATGCCCGTGATGATGCCCTAATTTTTGTACCTACAATGCTACATGTAGCTGTTTTTGTGGTGAATGTAATATTCCAGAAGCACCCCTACATTTAAAAGGCATTTGGGACTGGCCGCAAAAAACGTTGTTTTGAATGTGTGAGTGTGTGTGTGTGTGGGGGGGTGATTCCTTCATGCAGATACGAAGTTGGGTCGTTAATTAGAAACAAATGTTCGTCGCCTGTTGTAAGGTATGGGGCCTGTGTTCGCATCTACATGTAAAGTCATAGTTCCGTTGTATTCATATGCATGTGGTGTGCCATTATATCCGTGATGATGCACTTTTTTCACTGTTTAAGTTTTCATATTGAAGTAAATAGCGACAATACATAACTCAATGTATATCATGTTCCTACTTGTACAACATAACATAAGAAAATTCAGATGGTTGTAACTGACATTTAGTGGTTAGGAAGGGAAAGGAAAGATGCAGGTCAAGTTCCATAATGGGCGGCTGTTTTGGATATTGCAGTGGAGCCTGAAAATCTGAGGTAAAATTTTCCGGACGTGTTAGGTTGATATCTAAATGGTCGAAAACTGTTGGGACTAGGAGTACTTGGTGTAATTTTTGGCCTCCTTGCAGCTTCTTTAGAACTGCAGAAGCGTTTTTGTTTGAGAGTTTCATTGTAAATAACTCGAGCACGGGTGGATGGTTTTTCATTTTGGTAGGTAGGTGCCTAAGGTGAAGAGAAACACAATGGGATGCATATTATGCAAATCGTTGTTTTAAAAACAGCCGCTAGTAGGCCCATTATCGCACTTGACCTGCATTTTTCCTGTCCCTACCTAACCACTAAATATTTCTTAAATACATCCAGGATGCCATGAACATCCCCACCTTTATTGGCGGGTGATGCTGATTCCAGAGGGGTTTTCCCAACAAGACTATCGTTTAAAATGTAACATTTCTGTTACCAACTTCAAACTATCTAATTCCAATAAACACAAGGAAAAGTAAAATGCACCCAAAACTGCCATAACATTATATAAAGGTCTTGAGACAAGTGACCTCATACTCATCTTTATTAGTTTTGTTCGACCCGTCCTCGAGTACGTGTGCGTGTTATGGCACCCCGGTCTGACTAGAGAACTGTCACTGAAAATTGAACGTGTCCAGAAAAGAGCACTAAGGACTATACTGGGTAATGACTATTCCAACTACCAATCTGCTCTGAACCTTACCGGTCTCAGCCGTCTTGACGCTAGACGACAGGAACTGTGCCTAAGATTCGCAACTTCACTTGTTAACTCTGATAAGTACCGTGAATGGTTGCCACCTAGACGGGGTGATACTCATCTCAGAACTCTCAGAAATAGCAACTCTTTTACCCAGTACAAATGCAGAACTGCCCGGTATCAGAACAGCACTTTTCCCTTCTGCGTACGACTGTTGAATGATGACAGGTAAAAACTTTTGCGGCCTCCATGTATATAGAATATTTTATTTATGAGTAAAACGTTTCAAAATGTAGTCACCAATTTGATTTTAATATGTCTGAAATTTTATATTGAATGAATTTTGATATAAGAATTTTGTATTATGTTGTCAATGAGTCTAGATGAATGAATTGTTAAAGAACCACAATTCAGCCTATGTAAGGCTGCCAGTGTTTTTATGCTCAATAAACCACTTCATCGTCATCAAAGCGAAGATTTTGCTCTCTTCTTGAGACCACAATATTCATAAACTGATGACACAATCGTGTGTCTTGTGCTTATGGCAATTGCAATGATCATGGTTTTAGTAGCACCTGAGCTACACACAGTGCTCCGCGTCTCCCGACATGCAATGGGATCCATGAAAAGGTCCTTCTGGATCCCAGGCACCGGCCTGGAGCTGTTTATTGTTTATTGTTTTTCGGGATGGTTTTTATGAACACAGTGATGAAAGAACGCCATAGTAGCCACGGCACCTTGCTGTAAAAACAAAATTTACATCTGAAACAGATATTTATATCTATATATTTATATCTGTTTCAAATGATCTGTTGATACACATGTATCAGTACAAAAATCCTTGTATTGTACTTGGGGCTGCGTACTGGAGCAGCGCTATGGAACGCTCCCCCATCTTAATTAAAAACAGCAGCTAGCTTCTACAGATTGTAAATGCACCTTGTTACATGTACGTGTGATGACTTGCAGAGGGAGGATAAGACAACACGGAAAAACGACAGCGATTGTGACTATAAATACGGCACATAACGCACTTTATTGTTAAAACTGAGACGCAAATCTCTAATCTAAACAAGCTACCTCTAACTTACAGTACTGCAGGAAAACAAACAAACATATGTACTGCAAATATGTCTAAACGCTAAGGATCTAGTATACAGCAAGTACAGTTACTGAATCAAAGAAAACGTGCTAGCACAACCAGGCGATAACATCGTGACATCAAAGCAGACTCTCCAAACAAGCAACAGTTGCATTTTACACAGCACCTGTATTCTATTAAAACGCTAGGGAACATGCAAAGACATGAAGATATGAAATGACCTATTAAAAGAAAAAAAACATTGTTCACATTGTTAAAAGAATAACGAAATGAGATCAAACTTTCTTCATCACTTCGTTATTCAAATACCTACAAACTTTGCGACTGACCCATATGGTGCCATATCATATAAGCTTTGCAAAGCCATTAACAGGATTTGGATCAGAATGCATGAATAGTACATGAATAGCGTAGCCTGGTGTCCAGCCTTGTTAGCTTTGGTCCTCTCCCCAAAATCCGCTTAAGCTAGGTAGCGGATCTTGTGGAGCTCACCAAAGCTAACAAGGCTGGACACCAGGCTATGCTATGAATAACGAAAGCTTTTGGTGCACTCTTAACACGTGAACTGTTTCGCACGAACGTGATTCCATATGTGTGGCTTTAACTGACACAGAGTAGTGAACTGCTTGCCGCACTCCTCGCATCTGTACGGTTTCTCACCAGTGTGAGTCCGCATGTGTCTCTTTAGACCATTCTGTCTAGCAAACTGCCTGCTACACTCCTCACATCGGTACGGTTTCTCACCTGTGTGAGTCCGTATGTGCGTCTTTAGGTCTGTAAACGTAATGAACGACTTTCCGCACTCCTCACATCGGTACGGCCTCTCCCCTGTGTGAGTCCGCATGTGCTTCTTCAGATTATCCCGTATGCTGAACTTCTTGCCACACTCCTCACATCTATACGGTTTTTCACCTGTGTGAGTTCTGATATGTGTCTTCAGACCACCCAGCTTAACAAAACACCTGCCGCACTCCTCACACCTGTACGGTTTCTCTCCGGTGTGAGTCCGTATGTGCGCCTTTATGTCTGTAAGGTTAACGAACTGCCTGCTGCACTCCTCACACCTGTACGGGCGCTCCCCTGTGTGAGTCCGCACGTGCGCCCTTAGAGTACCCGGTTCCCTGAACTGCCTGCCACACTCTCCGCATCGGTAAGGTTTCTCGCCCGTGTGATACCTCATGTGCTTCTTCAGATCACTCGGGAAGAGAAACGCCTTGCCGCACTCGCCACACTTGTGGGGACGCGGAGAATCCGTGTGATAAACCATGTGTTTCTTCAGGTAACTCGCGAAGCGAAATTCCTTGCCACACTCGCCACACTTGTGGGTACGCGGAGATTTCTGCTCTCCAGCTCCATTCTCTCCCTCCTCTTGTTTCAGACGGAATTCAGCTGTCGCCATGCCGTACCTACACGATGTAAAACATTAGAGATTTGATTTTGCAAGGAGACAATACATTTGAGGGCAGAATACGAAAATGAAAACATAAAAACCTACAAACAATAAAACCTACAACATCATATATAAAACCTACAAGTTAAAACAAAATCTGCTAAAACTGGTTTCATACTGATGCATAAACTTCTTGGTTCGGCATGCTCATGCTTCAAATAAGCATAAATAACTAAGAAAGAAAAGTCGACATTAAGAAACAGTTCTTCACCTGCGGATTAATAATGTAACCTAGATCTAGAGTTAGTAATATACGCGCCACATGTAAGTCGTCATAAATACAGGAAAGCAAATCATGGTACTTACCAAGATGCACTGACGCTCCAAAGTACAGACGACACAGATCCTCACGGCTGCAGAGTCAGTACTGAGAGAAAACAGAGCAGGGACGCGTTTATGTAGGGCCCACGTAGATGAATAAAGCCGACCCAGTGGATTTTACTTGATTACGAAACAAAGAAAATAACATTACCTTGTGCCTATTATACATAGGTAAAATCAAACAACATCATTAGACAAAAAGACAATCACTTGACTTAACGATAAAGACAACATATTACGTGTTTTAATTAATTTATTGTTGCAACTGCTGAGATCAAAGGGACGATTATCAGCATACAATGAGGGTGTTTGTTTCGGCGGACTTTCTAATCTTATTTTACGAAAGGTGCATACATGGCCATTTATAGTTAGAAAATATATCAAACACCTCCTTTCAGAATCAAAGCTACCGATAAATTCCTTAATAAACACGGCCAGTCATGAATACGTAGGACTAATGCCTTGTTGCTGTAACGTATTTTACACACATTACAACACAGACGTTTGGGGTCGTGTGGCGTAGCGGCGGAGTGCGCGACTCGGAACGAAGAGGTCCTGGATTCGAGTCCTGACATGCCACCGATCTTGTGCCCTCGGGAAAGGCACTTTACACGACATTCCTTACTTCGCTCAGGTGAATATGAGTCCTGTCATGTATTTGTCCCCTGTGTTGGTGGCGGCATGCGTGTGCCGTCACCACGTCTAGTGATTACATGTACATGTTGGAATAAAAAAATAAGACGTTTGAACAACTACTTTGGAG